ATAGAAAGAGAAATGTACATCAGGTCCGATCATCCGATTTTCACGTTTCGGTTTTTTGGACTCGGTTCATGAACGTATTTTGGTTTGGCTCCTGGAATGTGCGAAAAAAATGACTCCCGGGACTGTCTACAGGGAACACTCGCACATTCGCGGTGTATCAGGACAGCGCGACTGGTCGTCATTAGCGCAGTAACAGTTGCATAAACGGACGAAACCATTTCAAAGAAATGGGGATGTTTCGAAAATAAGCATTTACTCCAATATCAAAACAGCTACGGTAAAAATAAAAAGACGTGCATCATCCCGGACATAATGCAACACCACATGCGAAATTACACAGAAATGCGACGTACGGAAGAATGCGTTTTGGCTGCGAACATCTTCCAAAAAACTTGGCATCTCTTAACCATGGGCAAAAACATCTGGAACCACTTATAAAAACCACCCCGTATCTGCATGAACTTTTTTGAACCCCACTGCTATTCCAAACAACGCGTTTTTCTGGACCATTCCAATTCGCCTCGTAATTGTAGGGGTGCGTCTGCGATATTACATTGACCGCGAAAGCAGCAACGGCAAAAATACACATTCGTGCATCAACACGGGCATGCCCGCAGACGGCGTATAAAATTGCGTGCCGATTACACAAAGAGAACCCAGTGTTTTGACTGCGAACATGAAAAATCAGCCGATTACAACACTCCGTCCGGAGGTCCTGACCTCCTTCACGGAGTAAAAAAACTAAATATGACATGTACCATTCTTGGCACAACCATAAATTGTAACAGTTACGTATATGCAAACATTTTCCTAGTTCTGTATGTTCATATTATACATTGAAACTAGAACACAGCCAGACTTTCAATGAAATGGTTAATGTTAGCTCAAATCATACGTCTTGGTACTTACTAACACTTAGTCAAAGAAATCTAAAACCTGTTGAGAAAATGAAAGCAGGTGTTCTAAAAAAAAAGGTGACATTTCCTTCAGGACATATTGGCTGGGTTTGACTGAGGGAAAATACAGACTATCTGGGACTTATAATCTCAGGCCGGCAGGATGCGTGAAATTAGGTTTAAGCCTGGCATTGACCTTTTGTTGTGTGGTGAATGGCACACCATCCGTCATAGACGGGCCTCCCCTTCCAGGACTTAACCATAATCCGTGTGGGTCATCACAGCAATTTTGGATCCGGCAAGATTACCGTTCAAGATTGATGGAGTTTTCCTTAGAGTTTAAGACAAACATCTTAGAGCTGTGACTTCAGAAATAGCCATGCCTTCAAGTGCCAGTCAGTTATCAACCAAGGATTGGGGTGTTCCACAACTCAGTCTTTCCTAGAACTATCGCAAAGTGGAACTCGCTGTCAAAGTACAGTAGGGGCATAATCATAAGGTAGCTCTAAACAATGTTTAGAATTAAATGTTGAAAGGATAGGTGTAACAAGTCATTCGGTGTAATTTAGGCAGCTGCCACCGCGCTGCGTGCCTGCGAAGCTGGTGTGTTATGTCAAAGGGCGGTTATACTGCCTATAAAGATAAGGTGAACGTCAGTAAATACAAGTTATTCAAATAAGGACCTCATTTGCATGATTTATGAATAAATGCTGGAATGGCATTCTTTATTAAGACAAGACTGTCTTTGGTAGAGAATATGATCAACTGATGTAATTCATGCAAATTAAGACCCTATTTGTATAATCAGGGCAAATAATCTGTAATTTGTCAGTCATAAACATCATTTGTCGAAGGTATGATGTCGTGGAACTCTAGTTTTCTCATGCATCCATTCGCTCTGGGTAGGCAAGACCTCATCACTCAGGTCTCTCATGATGCCCACTAAACTGGTGAAATAAACAAAACTTTACCAAGGTAGGAAAATTTAGACCCTACCTGTTCATTGTAGCCCAAAAGTCTCCAGACTGGACCAACATTTGCAAGAGAAAAAAAAAGTATTTTAGAAGATATTACTAGTAACTAGGGACTACAATCGTGCTCCCATTTTGGAGCCCCTACTGCGCAATGCAATGATTACGTCTGCCCGTCAGTATCTACAGCCATATAGAGATCTCTAGCTACATGTAAGTGGCCTCATGCAAGTTCTACTTTGTTAAACTGTATCGTATCAGCTGGATCACTAGAGATTGCCAGTTAGTCTTTAAAGAAAGAAAAAGATCCCAACCTACTGACCCTACTTTTTCATGACTGAAACAGGAAACATAACGTTTTTCCAAGGCCTTAGCTGACAATGTTCAGTAAACATTATGGCAAACAGTTATCCTTGGTTTTCATCTGGAATCTTCCGTTAGACTACTCTCGACTCTCTATTAAACGTACCGGGACGTTTATTTTTTTTCGCCTGAAAATCCACCCGGTACATTCTTATTTTAGACGGTACGTTTATTTCTTTTTTCAAAATCGGAAAAGTTCCGGGAAAATTCATTCCATTGTCGGCACATGAATTGTCGATCTCGCCATGACGCCACAAAGAAAACGTTGTCATTGGTAGAAAATCTGACACCCCGCTGGCGTTTCACAACAAAATTTTCATGTAAACAACTCCGACTATCTTTGTTTACATCGTGATAGCTCACCGATACAAAATAAAACTCCCGCCGGACGCCGCGCCGACCTGGTTGCGGCATGACGCTAGTTTTCGGCAGCTCGTCTATGAAAAATAAACCATCCCCAGAAGAAATGTTACGCATGAAAATAACAACTACAACTTGTTTTCCTCGCTGTATGAGTTTTTGAGGCCGTAAAATGTTTAAAATGGTTGAAATTTGCACGAAAAAACGGCTCGAAAATTCACGGCGAGAAAGACAACAGGGGCCAACATGGCCGACCTGCTTTTACAATAACAGTGGTCAAAGGTCAAGAGAGCATCCAAATGTATAAGCCATGTACTAAGTACATATTACAGTGCTAAAACGATACTTTAAACGCATGAAAAATTATTTTTCAGCTACAACTGAAAAAATTCACTTATATTTTAATAAGGATAATTTTCAAACATTACTGAGAAATTTTACAAATTTATTGGTTTCTTCTGTAATATTGTTGTTTCTATGTATGTGCGGTTGGATGCTGTCATTGTAAAGACCCTTTACATATTGGGAGAATCAGGTGAGATATTAGAGATTATCACGCTTAGCACCGCGACCCGAATGTCTCTCAAAAATTGTTTTTATGTGGAGTTTATAGACATGGTCACATTTTTGTTTGTTCAGCTGTGTCAATATGTGATTTGTTTGGGAAATAGGATTTGGTTTAGTTTTTAATATATTAATTTCAGTAACATCTTTGGAATAACTTGCTCCAAGTTCGAGGTAGTAAATACATGTACATTTTGTGTCATGTATTTTTCACTTGTTGAACTTGTGGAAGCACCGTTGGCCCCCGGTTAGGGGTCATCCGGGGAACCTATGCCCAATTTTTTCAAAATTAAGGGTGCTAATACTAAATAGAACTTTTTTTTTTAACATGAAGAGGATAATTAAGTAC